GCATCTGAACCACTGGAGAAATCACGCGTCTTAGGTTTGTGTACACTTTTTCATTTTTCAGCTCGGCGGCAACATAGTTTTTTTTTGTTTCATCATGTGGTTTATGCTGAAAGTAATGTTTCTTTGTTTCCAGGCTCCCTGTCTTCATCACTGGATAAGGATATTGTTTTGGAGGCATTGAACTTTATGTTTACTGATGAGGTTGACCTCTAAACCATTTCTGTTTTTACATTCATTATATTGCAAAATTGTTCCAAATACTAGTGTCTTCAAGTCTGCACCATGATTTTAAAAGCCATTGAGCATATAGTCCAACCTCCAGCTTACACAGGTTGGACTCATGTTCACATAAAACAATAAAGCAATAGTTTTGAGTATTATAGAGAAGAAATAAAATTGAGGATTGTTATGCTACACAAACCTGCTATCAAGTGGTTGGAACTCCTTCAATTGTTTCCTGCACTTCTCCATTTCGGTTCCCAGAAGCTGCTTCATTTTCTCCCATGCACTTTAGTCCAGTATGAACGACAGTTTAATGAACCCTGTTTTAGCAGTTCCATTGCATGAACTAAATTTTAGTCTGACCTGACTAGGCCAGGCACTGATTATAGTTTTTCTAGTGAAATGTTGTCCCGGTTGTTTCTTTAAACCGTGCTCTGCCCAGCTGTATGTACAAACTTAAATCTAATCTGTTGCTTGCTTATTAGGTGCGGAATCAAGATTCATTTTACATCCTTGGTGGTATTAGCTTAGAAGGACGAGAAGTAGCATGGACCTGGCTGAAGGTATGTTATACAGTTTCAGGACATCTAGGCTTGGTTTTTGTGACATCAGACAAGATATCATATCATATTTCTGATATATTTCAAAGTTTGCTTCTGGTCTCTTGAGAAATTAGTGTGCCATGTCATTAATTTTGTGATACATGTATTGAAGTTACTCCCTCCGTCCAAAAAAAAGCGCAATCCTAGCTTTGAACGTGGACGCTTCAAAGCTAGGATTGCGCTTTTTTTTGGACGGAGGGAGTATGCTGTTTATTTCTGCATTAATGAATTCAGATAGGAATCCACTGCTTCAAAAGCAATGTTCTGAAAAAAATGAATATAACCACTTAGTATGGTGCATTGTCTTCAGACCGCTGCAGGCAGGTTGCAACCATCACATAGTAGATTCCATCTATCTGATCTTTTTACTGATCACATTGTGAATAAAGGAGATGCCAGACTTAAGTCAAAGACATGCCAATAAAAGTTCGTTGTTAATTACATGGTTAAAATAATAATGAAAATAAAAAATAATGCACTTCAGATAGTATCCTTAGCGCTCTGCATGTCTGTACAATCAGTCCCTGAAACAAGTGCAATCAAGTAGAACTGCTATTGCATATTTAGAGACAACAAGGCAATCTAATATCTGCACTTGTGTGGCTTCTTCCCAGAATATGTACAGTCAACTATAACCAATATTGCATATTAAAAGACAACAAGGCCATATAACTTATGTACACAAAAATGAAATTCGGTTTACCTGAAATTATTGCAGTTTGTTCATCTGCTATAGCCTTGGCTGTGTTGCATTCACTGTGCATCTAAGCCACCTAAAAATACTGAAATTGACTTGTACATCTAAGCCATCTAAAAAGTAAAGGATGGGTCACGAATCATTGCAGACATAAAAGATGGAGGATTCACATTTGGCAAGGGGACTGCACTAGATATCACACATACCACTAATATAATTTTTTTTTTTTTTAAAATAATTGTTACTCCCTCTTTTACAAAACAGAAGGTATTTTAACTTTGTTCCAAGTCAAACTTCTCTAGCTTTGACCAAATATATAGAAAAAATGCACCAAATCTGCAACATCAAATTAGTTTCATTAAATTCCATCATAAAACATGTATTGATAGTGCATTTATTTTGTATGGTAGATGTTAATTGATTTTTCTATAAAGTTGGCTACAGTTGACTTAGGACAAAACTAAAACACCTCTCTTTTGGAATGGAGTATCTTATTATTTGAGGCACTATAATTGAAAACATCCAGATATTTATGCCCATATTTGTCCCATTACAGGAAAACTGGGATTACGTGTTGAAGACATGGAAATCGAGTTCACTCATATCAGACTTCATCGAGTCCATTGTCGCACCGGTACGCTAGAGACTTATCTTTGCTTTTTCCTCCCATTCTATCAGTAAGTTAGTAATGTTAGCCCTTTTTGTGTATCTTGTGCTGATCAGTTCACCTCCGAGGAGAAAGCTACCGAGGTTACCGAGTTCTTTGCTGGCCGCATCAAGCCATCTTTCGAGAGAGCACTGAAGCAGAGCCTCGAGAGGGTGCGGATCAGCTCGAGATGGATCGAGAGCATCAGGAGTGAGCCCAAGCTTGGTCAGACAGTGCAGGAGCTGCTGCAGGCCAAGGCGTAAACATGTGGTCCTCAAGGTAGCTGTTCCTCAGTGTGATCATCTCATAGGAGTCCGCTTGACAACAATGTTCTTGAAAAGGTTGTGGAGGGCGTGGTTATTCTACATTGTATTGGCAGTTGCTTCCATATGATGATGATCTGTTGCCGGAAAAATGATGTAATGACGTTTGTTTCAAAGAGTGGTGTGCTAATTTCATGATTATAGTATTGACAGTAATAAAGAAACGAAAGGGATGTTTCAAAGAGTGGTGTGCCAAGTCCATGATTTAAATTGCCTGGTTGTGAAGCTGCCTGGAGTCCGTTTGGTTGGAACCCTGGGCACCAGCCTGGCACAGGCAACCCCAGGCCTAGGAAATCGAGGTGTGTTTGGTTTCTCTCCGAGCAAGGCTGCCTAGGAAACGGTCAAACGGAGTTCCCCAGGCCCGACGAGATCAATGCCCAGCGAGATTCCTATCTCCGGAGTAAGGATGGCAACGGGTCGGGTTCGGATCGGATGGAGTCTTGCATCCAAAACCGAAACCGAAATCAAAACCGAAGCCTAAAACTGATTCGGTGGAAATCCATCACCAAAATCAAACCCACCAAACCCGAACGGCGGACCCAAACCGAATGGATACCGAAACTCATGGATATATATACATATTCACATGTATAAACAAGAGGCAACAAATAATAAATATTTCATGAGTCAACTTTAAATAAATTTAATAATCTAAGTAAACAAATTATTATTAGTATATTATAAAACATGAGGTTTAATTCCAAATGATTTATTTCGGATATCCATTGGATATCCACTTTCTCAGGAGTTTGGGGCCCCAACCCGAAAACCGTGGGTGAAAAACCAGCCCCAAACCCGAACCCGCAGAACCCGAAACCCGCGGATATCCGCCCCAAACCCGATCCGTTGCCATCCTTGCTCCGGAGCACTCCGCCTGTTGTAATCGCGAGTCCATCTGTCTGCTAGCTTTTTGCTCGTGATGGAGATATGCAACACTGTGGAAACAAGTGAAATTGATTATTCCTAAATTGCACAAGCAATTCTCCTACCTTTTTTGAGGGTTCTAAGAGGAGTTTCCAAAATATAATCCCGATCTTGATTTTTTTTTGCAAGATAGAAAAACAGCTCTCAAACAACTTCGGGCGTGTTTGGATCATTGGCCGTATCTTGCTTGGCCTTTCGGTGAGGAATAGCAAGAGCACCAGACGTTTGGTTGAGTGGAGCTACTTGGGAGCCTGTGCAAGCAAGCAAATTCTTTGCCGAAGCTAGAGAGCCTATTTGGCTGGCTCAGCTGGGCGAGTTTCTTGGTTTCCGTGTAGGTGAGGCGAGGTGAGTTTCCTAGAGAAACAAACGTGCCCTTCCTTATCTCAACTTTCAATCTTTCCGCACTTGGGAAAATCGATCCAATTACACGGAAATATAGGTGTGCATATCAATCGACCAATCTAGAGATGAGTACCAAGGTTGTCAATGCATATATGTACAAAAGAAATAGTATATGATCCATTGCATTTTATCTTTTAGAGAAGCGAGATTTTAGGGACAGTTGGAGCAACCCAATAAATATACTCCCAAATTGTTTTTAGCCACATGGAAAACCCAACAAATAACCCTGAGGGCCGTGTAACTTTGAAAAACGAGGATGTTGGTGAAATTTCATTGATTTTTGCAGTGAAATTTAGGTTCACCAGCGAGGGAAGGAATCTACTTATGAACATTTTTATCTATATACTATATCATTATTACTTCACGTGCAATTTTGTCCGAATCGCATTGGTTTTGCTAGGTCACCTTGAATGAACACTCTTACTATTTCAGGCAATGCTTTGGTTTGGTTGATGGACGCACTTGATTCACGGCACTCGACTCGGCGCTGGTTCCTTTCCCTACGAGCCACCGCACATCACTTTTTTTTTGAAAGATGATTATTACCCATGTCAAAGTGAAAATGAAAATGAAAATGAAAAGATACATGCAGACGAGCGGATAGGAACGTCCACTGAAAATGGGGTCCGCTGTCTTAGGCTCTCTTCGGCAGGACTTATCGCTGCGGCTGATTTATAGGACTGATTTGCTGTGAGAGAAAGCCCTCTGACTAAAAAGCTCCAGCAAACAGAGCTTAGCTGCGAAAAAGTAAAGGTTGGACGCGGCACTATGATTGCACGGCATTTCCAAATTCAGTAACCATATCATACGCCGTGCAGTAGTGCTTGTCTGTAGCAAGGACAATCAGTACATGTGAAGAATAGGTGGTCACGGTTAGTGTACTCCACTTCCGTCCTTCCCAAAACCCCAATCGCCTCCACCGCCTTGCCATCAAGGTAGTTGCCGCCGGTGGTCGTGGTCCTGGAGGTCGCGGATCGAGCGAGAGGTGATCTGCCCTCAGGTGACTAGCCCGCTTCCGCCGCTCGTCTCCAGCCTCTCGCCCTCGGTCCGTGAGATGCAACTAATTCGGTTTGGTTGGGGGGAGGCGTCGTGTCGTTGCAGGGTGGTGGTGATCGCGCGCGAGGGTGGGAGTGGGAATGAGCTTCTACCTGGCCAGGCTCGAAGCCGCGCGGCAGCAGCACCGGATGATGGCGGCGGCGGCGGCCGCGGGGCACGCCCACGCCCACGCCCCGCGCGCGTGGCCTCCTTACCCCCAGCACGCCGCTCTTCTTCTACCTCGCCCGCATCATGCTCCGGTTCCTCCTCCTCCTCCTCTTCATGCCGGCATCAGGGTCGTCGACACGTGGCGCGGCGCAGGCAGCGTGGCGAGGCGCGACGACGGTGCGCCGTTGCGCGCGGGGCGGCGTGGCTGGTTTGGCGACGGGTGCGACGACCGTGCGGGAGGAGACGGGCGGCGGCGGCGAGCTGCGGAACAAGAGGCCGTTGGCACCGACGACGCCGCGCCAGCGCTCCCCGTCCCCGCCATCCAAGCGGAGGGCCGTGGCAGCGGCGGCCAGGCGCCTGTTCCCGCCCGGCTGCGGGAGGGACGCGGCGCTGCCGCTCGCCAGCGCCGATGGTGGCGCTTCGCGGTCCGTAGCTGCGCGAGGCGACGGCGGCTCAGGCGCACCACACAAGTCGGCAAGGTGGACAGCGTCCTTTTCGAAGCGGCGTCGTCACCCAGCGCTGCTGCTGCTTCAGCTGGTGGTTCGAGTTCGATCAGTGCGCTGGAGAACGCGTCTGCTTCGGACGGTGGCCATCATTGTCAAGGGGAGAGGCTAGTGAAATCAACCGAGGCTTTGGGCACGAACGGTGTGGCTGCCGCCGCCGCCAGTGCTCTCATGGACGCCGCCGATTCACAGGGTGTTGCAGGTCCGGGGAGTGGTGAACCGTTGAAGTCCAAGGATTGTTTGGTGTCATCCGTGCGTTTGCTACCAAAGCCGACGACGACGGTTTCTGCCAATCGTCGCTTCCCGCCTGGGTGCCGGAGGTTTGGAGCGCCTCTGCCCGCTGGTGATGGCACTACGAACCAAGTAGTGTGTCTGCCGTCGCCGGAGGAGGTGGTGCCTACAGAACGAGATGACATGGAATTTGTGGTTCGTCCAGGATCTCATGTTTCTTCCAGTGTTACTCCGCATGAGGCTACAGCCTGTAGACTTGGTGCTGCTGTTCCAACAATTGGGAACAAATGGCATTGCGAGGAGAGGAGGTCATCATCAGCTGTACCTGCAAGCGGTGCCAACGTGACAAACAAACCTGGTGGGAGTTCGTGCAATGTTGCTGCTGCTGAATCTTTGGCTCAAGGTCTTTCCAAAGAAGGTCATAGGAGTGACAGTGTTTCTGATTGTTCTGCACTGAACACCACATGTTCAGACGATTTTGCAGCTGCAGTGTCCGGCGAAGGAGCAGTGGTGACAAAGAAGGTCATGCATACAGCTCGGAAATCAGTCAGGCCTCCCAGATTGATTCAGAAATCTCTTCTCCACACTCAGCGTAGGTCCTTCTCCGTGGAAATCGAAAGGGAAACTGAACTTGGATGTAGCGTGAACATGAATGATATTGAGGACACTGGTGGGTTTACCAAAGCTCGAGCTATTCAGGATCCCATGTGTGCAAACAAGTCCCCCTGGACAAAGGGAAACGAGGCTGCCTTCTTCGGTCCCAAGGAGAGGGTGAGCAAGAAGAAGCTAATGAACAAAAGGAGGGTTACTGTAAAAGGTCCTACCTCTGCGTGTGCGTTGGATGACAAGGAGGATTCCATCTTGGAAGACGATGAAATTTTCAAGGCCCTAGCTGCTCATGAAACAAAGTTTGAATATGGGCCCCAAAGCGCAGATGCTAGGATCAAAGTCAAGATAATCTGCACCAGGTTCGAGTCTATCTGCAGGGCTATAGTGCAAGCTGCGGGACAGCGTTCGATGAAGGTTAGAAGAATTGACCTCGCAGCAGATAAACTGATCAGGAAACTGCCAGGATTCACCAAGCAGGGGCCAGTCGTTGGAAGCGTTCCTGGAGTCGAAGTCGGCGATGAGTTTCTGTACAGGGTTCAGCTGGCCCTCGTTGGTCTTCACCGTCCGTTCCAGGGAGGCATTGACTCCACCAGCCATGAAAAAACCGGTGTGCGGATCGCCATAAGCGTGGTGGCTTCAGGCGGATATCCTGACGAACTGTCATGCTCAGGGGAACTGGTATATACAGGGTCCGGTAAGAAGGATAGTGGAGATCAGAAGCTTGAGCATGGGAACCTTGCCCTGAAGAATTGCATCAAGATGAAGACTCCTGTCCGGGTGATTCATGGATTCAAAGATCAGAACAGAGGAAGGCAGCCATTCAAGGGCCAGAGAGATCTCGACGTTCACGTATGATGGGTTGTATCATGTGGTGGACTGCTGGAGAGAAGGTTCACCAGGTTCAAAGGTGTTCAAGTACAAGCTGCGAAGGATCCCTGGGCAACCACAACTTTCCCTGCACATGGCTAAAGCCGTGGTGAAGAACAGTATGCGTCCATGCTTCATGTATGTATGCCAATGATCTTCTTGTTTGTTTGTTTCTTCGAGCACCTTGCCATCTTTAATTATGTTGTAAATTGTCTTAAATCTCCGTATGTGCATATACTTCTGCATTTCTTACTTGTGCCTATCCTTATTCAGTTATTCATGTAACCAGTGGCGTGCTTTCTAACAGTTTTCAGTTTGCTGCAAGTTTTATTTTCTTGTGATGGATTTTGCTATGTTACCCCAAAATGACTGTGAGCCGTGTTGATATTTTTCAGAAAATTAGGATCTGTCTGCAAGTACGTCGTCGAGAGCCACATTTAAATGGAAATTTTGTGAAACAACCCATAAGTGACTATGGCATGTTCGGCTGGTATTAAAGCCGGCTGAAGCTGTTTTGTTGTGAGAGAAAAATACTATAGATTCTAGCTGATAAGTTCAAGCGAACAGACAAATATACATCTTGATGCTTGTATTGTAACATACATCTTGACAGTTCTTATACATAAACTATGATGCGTGTATTGTAACGTACATCGTTTTTAAAGCAATTTCGGGTCTAAATGCATATTATATGGTTTCTGCACAAAAAGTCATGGGTCATGTATAACAACTGGATTTCCACATACGATATGTACTATTATATTAGTATACAATGTTTTTTTTGCTATCTATAGTTTAGTTTAGGCGGCAATATATATGTTTATTATTTGAGATGGGTTTCGAAAATAGTTTGACATCGGCCGTGCGCATGCACACATGCACGCACACACAACAAAACAACTTCTTAGTCACAAAAAAAGCACAACAGCTTCTTCCTCCTCGACTCTGACGCCCTTGGCCCTGCCATGGCGAGCTAGGGTTTTCGCTGGAGCTCCGTGGCGCCAACTTCCCCTCCCCCCCTCCCCTCGGCCGCCGCCTTGCCCATGGCGCACCCGCTCCGACCTAGCCTAGCCGCCTCCACCACCGCCAGGGCCCCTAATCCGCCCGCTGGCATCCCCACCGCCTGGCGGGCCTTCCTCACCGAACTCCCTTTCCTTCTATTGCCGCTGGAATTTGGGAAGAAGAGAGGGGCTCGCCGGAACCCTAACGCGATAGGAGGAGGAGGAGGAGGCCTACCTCAGCGGATCCACCATGGCACGCCGGGGCCGGATCCGCCATGGCCGGCGAGCCCGGCGCGAGTGGGGGCGCGGGGAGGCGGTGGGGCACGGGCGCGGGGAGGAGCTCGCCGGTCGCTCGCACGCGCGCGCGAGAGAGAGAGAGAGAGAGACGCGGACGTGCAGGTGTGCGTGCGAGTGAGGGAGGGAGTGTGGGCACGGCTAGACTCTCTTTACGGTCGTGTGTAAAGAAGTCATTACTTTATTATTGATCTTTTTATTTTAGTTGTGGTAGGATTGCCACTAGTTATAGTCTCTCATTTCAGTTACCAATTTCACCTACTTCATCGTTCCTGACATGTACAGAAAAAAAAAATTGATTTTGGTGCCCTTCAATTAAGCACTATGATCATAGTAACGGAATTACTGCATGGCTAGTGTATTTAGTACACCGACGTCCCTCTATCAAGAATCAAGAATCAAAATTGAACTGGTGCAACTAGTGCTCACCTATTTAGGTAATCTATGCTCCCTACATTTCAGGACAAATTTAAATCCTAGAATTTCTTACACTTTGGGCTAATTTTGAAGGAAGGGGAGGCACACCCAGGATAGAAAACCCCTCCACGAAGAACTAAATAATTATTCAAATTATTTCCCATAAATTTCCCACCCGGAAAAAGTAAAAAATCCTAACAGGATTTGAATTTCCAAATTAGGTCACGAAGGAATTGGGACGGAGGCACTGTCACCACACCAAATGTACTCGCACTGCAGCCATCGTATACAGAATCTGTGCAACCTCTTTAATTGCGTCAAGTCGTCAACACTCGTGTCGATGGTTTTGGGCCGGTCTATTTATTTTTAGTGGTACTTTGGTTGGTGGCTGTGATGATCTTTTACGCCGATCAGCGCCCGTTTGCGTCCTCGCGCGTTCAATCTTTTCTTCGCGTGCAAAGGTTTGCTCTAGCACGCTACATCCCTAGACGAGCAAGTGCAAATGCAGGAGCGAGGAGGTCCCTCCACCATCACTGCATCAATTATACAGTATAAATCTCCGGTGACTCACCTCGCACGCACTGCTTTTTAAGGTATACCTCGTTAGTTTCAGCCACCCTAAACCAGCCAGCCAACAGTATTTTTCTCTCACAATAAATCAGCATCCAGCTAGTCCAAACCAGCACAGAAACCAACCAACGAATAAGCCAATAGAACAGTGTTTTTCTCTCATAACATTTTCAGCATAAACATCAGCATAAGCCAAAAATAAAAGAGGATGGAAAGGTTTCTAGCTCTGCTGTACATACCCAAATTTTGTCGTAGCCAAACTAGGATGGCTGAAATTTGGCTATAATGGTGATATTTGATTGCAATCATACCAAACCTCGGTTATCAAGCAGTAAATGCATATGTTTATCATATGTATTTATGGCATATAACAACTTGCTTTGGCTTCAACACTTCAGCTGTGTTTGGTTGAGCCATGGGATGTAGGAAAGGTGTTGTGATGTGAACTATATACTGTTAAAAAAATTTTAAACTCCATCTCTTTAACTCTCTCGAAACAGATGTAAAAAGTATTTATGTTTCCATCCATTTGAAAAAAGCAGAAAGCAGAAAGCCAAAAGCAAAACCACGGTACAAAAATTGTATTACGCAAAAACATCTGCTTCTAGAAAAGCAGTTTCAGGCTTCATCCGTTTAGTTGTCGTAATGTCTTTTAACAGTAGAAGTAATTTCTAGAAGCTAAACCAAAAACAACCTTTAATAGCTCATCCTAGCACTTTTTGCGCTCACGAGAGGCCAGCAGCAACTACAGTTAGCTTGGTGGCAAAATTTGGTAGGAATATTGAAATTTGGCTTCTACGCAAATTAAAGTCTAAATTTATGGAGAAATAAAAAATTGGCTTGACTGTTTAGAGATAGTACGTAGTATCTAAACACATCCTAATATTTTGTACCAAAAAAAGATAAATGTTCCCGGTGTTAGATGATCTCTATCCACGGTCAATTGGGCCCTTGGATCCGCGTCCTGATCGGGCGTCCAACCCTACATGGTTGGGGACCCCGTCACACTGCGCTATAAAAGAAAGGTGGAGGCCAGCGACTCAGATCACGAAGTTCACCTGAGCTACAGTCGCCCCACCGACACAACCCTAATCCGATCTGAGAGAGTGCGCAGCCAATGACGGAAAGCACCGCCACCGGCCAACGCCGCCACTGCACCGCCGCCCTTCGACACAGCACCGTCACCGGGTCTTCACCAAGCACTGCGATGGCGAGCCCGTCTTCCTCGAAGGCGGCCGATGGTTTGCACCCCTTCACCCCCTCTCTCTCTCTCACTCTATCTATTAATCCTATACTAGTAGGTATTCTAGGACTCACTGTTTATTCTAAAAGCAAGTAATCATGTTAGATCTATAGCTAGTGATCCTGTTCTACTTCTATCAATGGTATCAATAGCCTAACTAGGCGTAGATCTAGCCTATCAGAATAGAAAATCGAATAACAGTATTTAGAAGAAGGTGATAGATCCGTTTTGGATCTAAGCAGAGGGTTCATCGAACCCTAAAACTCAAATCGGATGAAGAATAGCAGTAAGAACGGGGTCCCGGCTTTAAGAGAACTCGAACCGAGCCCTAACCCGTGAAGAAACTGCTCAGGGAAGGTGAACAGTAAGGAAACATGAACCCTAATCTCGATCCTAACCCCATCCCCAACCCTAAATCGGATAGATCCGAGAAGAAAAGAAAGAAAAATCAAATCAGAGAAGAAAAGGGGAAGGGGAAGAGGCCTACTTCGCCGTTGCACCGCGCTGCCGTCTCGTCGGCGCGCGAGAAGAAGGGTTGAGCCACTGCTGCACGTTGAGCGGGCGCGTGCTCTGGCCAAGGGCGTCGTGGCCAGGCCGCTCGACGGCGACATGCTCACCCGCTGGGGAGCGCGCGCGCCGACGAGGGGGCCAGCGATGGCGCCGTCATCGCCTCGCCTCACTCGATGTCGTCGTGAAATTTGAGAGAGAGGAGGAGAAGAGAATGAGCTTAGGGTTTGGGCGCGGCTGGCGGGGGGGCGTTGTTCTCCTAAAAACGGTGCATGACCGTCCGATCTAAATCGACGGCTGAGATCTGTCGGGCCAACTTTCGGCCCACGGTGCATCGCAATGAAGCGAAGCGGCTTTTGCCTGAGCCTAGGTTGCGGCCTGGTAGGCGCGATGGCATGAGCCGAACAGTGCGTGGGCGAATTCGCCAGGGTCAGCATGACGATTACTGCACAGTGTCGTCGAATTTCGGTCCAAATTGCATAGTAACATTTTTCGTTTTTGTTTTATTATTTTAGAAGCAGATTTTGGTGAATTTTGTCGAGTTTAAATCTCTGTCAAAATTTGAACCAACGGGATAATTTTTTCAGAGACTAGATTAGTACAGTAAATGCTTCTGAAAAGTAAATAAATAATTTTTCATGTTTCCGCTGCAATGTAATAGTTTATTATTTTATAATTAAATTCGAACCAACAGAAGAATTTAATTTGAAGAGTAGTCATTTTTAGTCAATAAATAATAATATTGTTATTTTTTTGACCAACGTTGATAATAACAATATTATAATGTTTATTCATAAGTTTTCCATGTATTAATTCTATTTCTGCCCAACGGTGATGTAGAATTAGTGTATAAGAATATTCTATGTTTTAATTTTGACCAACGTTAAATTAAAGCATGCAATTATAATGTCATATTTTCTCACTATCTCTGACGGAGTTTTTCAGGACTCAACCCA